AATAGTAATCCCTTTTGTTTGATTTTTATTATGTGGAAACCAAATCACTTCACTTTAATTAGTACTGTGTTTGAAAGGGCCGAGAAATTGGAAGTGTTTAAAGAACAATTAAAAAGTTAGTTGATTTCTTAAAATAATTATATTACAGGCCTGAAGGTATCTTAAGAGTGGCTGAATTTATCATGCACTTTGCTGTGTTCTGACCTACTACTTTGTATTTTAAAGATTTAACTTTTGGGGTTTTGTTCCAGTAAAATTGGTTACCTGTGGGTCCTGGCAGGGGTGCAGCTTTTCTTCGCCGTTTGATGTCTCCCATGCACAATGATCCTAAATGTACACTGGTTTGTCTGTAAGTGATTATCAGAAGAAACCATTAACAAAAGAGGAAAAATGCGACAAACACACAGCTTGTATAATCTTCACCTAAATCAAAACATTCTCAATGAAGATGAAGCTGCACAGTGAAGCCACCAATCTTGTTTATATCGAAACATAATTATGTTTGTTGACAAGCTCTCAGCATCTAAACACAGCATCATAAATTGTTACTGGAATGAATAATATAAAAGGAATGCTTTTTAATTTTCAAAACTGGCAATCTTTCCAGCTCAACATAAAACACTGTTTCTTCTGACAGGAAAATAGCTAAGATTAATTATCTAAAAAGATTACAATATTGTTGTAGGTTATCAATTGGTTACTAATGTGTTACTGTCAGAATGGCATTTATTACAGGAAAAGTATTATCAATTTCTTTTAAGGTAACATGAAGAATGTCTGAGGTAACATGAAACCAAACTCTTCAAAGACATTTGGAATAATAGTGTAATTTTGCTATAAGTAACATTCCTTTAGCATAGGTGCTGCTGGCTGCATCATTCGGTGAAGAATTAGGAGACAAAGGAAAAAGAAAAGGCATTCAAGGAGATGTATTAAACATTATAGAGTATCTAAAAACACAAGTCCCAATATTGTGGGGTTTTTTAAGTTAAAACGTAGTGAATGTTGTGAAATCACAAGGTGGGAAACAAATCTAGTAAACTGGTGCCAATAGAATATGTCCCCAAGGTCCCCAGGTTCAGTCTAGAATTTACAAATTTTGTTTTATTGAACATAAGCTCTCTCAAAACTGTTATTAACTGTGTAACAGATAATTATGCAGTATAAAAGAATATCTAGATTTCCAGGATGAAATAAAAGCAAACAAACAAACAAAACAAAAAAACCACCACAAAAAAGGGGATTAAAAATGTTCATAGTGTTTAACCTTTTATGGTACAAAGCCACTTTTTCACATAAAATATAATAATGAATGACTGTTTTTTCACATAGTGGGACTTCAGTGGCTTATTTAAAAAAATAAAATACTGCAATGCATATCCCAGAATAACTTTTTGTGCCACAATTCAGCATTAATTTAATTTTCTGTTTCAGGGAAGAAAAGTCCATGTTAAAACAGCCTGACAAGATTAATTGAAATAAAAATTTAAAATCCAAACTCTTAGTTGAACCATCCTCTATCCTGCTACCATGGAATAAATTTCAATTAGTTCTAAATTAACATTAAAACACTTTTAGCTTCCATGTCATTCATTAATGGTAGTACATGTAAAAAAAAAAAAAAGTAAAAATTTGAATATTGAAATAAAATATAGAAAAAGATCAATAAAGGCAAAATAATTAATCAAAAAGCTCTATTTAAAATGTTATTACACTTGCATGTTTTAACTTGTTTTATATATTCTAGTAAAGTAACCATTTAAATAAGTACATTAACATGATGTGTGTGCTTTTTTTTTTTTTTTTTTTTTAAACCCTCTAAAAACAGAATGGGCTATGAATCCGGTCATATTACACTCGGGAAAACTGTCTTCTTGAGAATGGCTTTACCTATCATGGTTACTCACTTTACTCTAACATTCATAATGCAATCATCACGCTCAGAATACATTTGCTGAAACTAAGTATCAGAATTCAAATAAAGGAATTCAAAATATTAAAATTAGCAACAGTCTTTACAGCTAAAATATGTCCTCATTTTAGACAGATAAAAACATATGAAGATCATTTGTCATATTTTTTCATCAAGAAATAGGATTACCTAAGAATACTAAGCATAGATCACCAGCCCCCTTTTCCGAAAATCCATATGCCTTTATATTATTACAGGGTCTTTATACTGTAAAAGTCTCCTGACATGTCTCATACTATGTAAAGTGCAATATCTGTATTTCTTTCTCCAGCATTCCTACCTACAGGGGAAAGGGGAGCAAAAACACAAACTAAATCAAACCAACCAACCAACCAACCCCCCTCTGTCCCCACACACATCCAATACCACCCAAGGATACAAGCAGGATGAAAGATAAAAATTAATAAAGTCAGCCAATTGAAACTCAAGACCTGGGCTATAGGAGTAACAGCTAGCTGTGCTTGAGTAATTCTACCCAGAATTGATTATCTGTTATACTGCATTGAGATATCTAGATTATTGATCAGTAAGATTATGGTACTCAGTTCCCACCACTTTTCCTCCAGGCACATGCAATGGAGTTGCAACAAATAACACTAAGTAAGGACTACTTTGTTATTGTTGTCACCCTTCATGTAGAACATAGCAGTTACTTTTTAATTCAAAATCAATGAATGTCTGAAAGGCAGCCTTGTTCCTTCAGCATAAATGAATCATTTGTCTTTTGCAAAGCACAACAATTTGATCAGTAGCCAAGGTGAAAGTGGTTATTTCTTTGCTATGTTTTTGAGGAAAAGCTAGAGGTTTCTCTCTGCTAGAAACTAGCCAATATTCTTCAGAAATTATTAAAGCATCAATTAAGCTTTTTCACATCTGCAGTTCTTTATGAGGTTACCACTAATACTATACCTTTGTTTAAAATTAGATTGAATTTCAAACATAACATTTGTTTCTGTAGGGGTTACAATTTACCATTTTATATGTATTGTTGATTGAATCATAAAGACACAAAAGACTACATTTTAAAGAGCAAGGGACAAAGAACTGTTCCTAATCTGAGAGCTACAGTTTAGAAAAAGTGATAACTCTTTGGCTATAAACACAAACACTGGCTCACGTATATTACATTTCTAAATTTTAGACATAGAGCCAACTCTGACCCTCATAGTCTGGCTAGGGTTTCAACAATATGCTTCTTAATATTAAATCACAAAAGCAAGGATTACAAATAGGAAAAAAGCCATTTGCCTGATTTCTCTTTACTTATCCATAGCTTGCTGCAAGCTATCATTTATAAATAGAGCTCTGGTGGGAAACCAGGCATTTTATTAGGAAAAAATAAAACTTGTTAAGACCACCTTGCCTGAAAACTTGGCTTTTGACGTGCTGGTGACAGGGACTGGAGCAAGCAGTGTCAAATGGAATAATTTTAAAGGAAAGACAACAGGAACTTGTCGCCTCATTGTATGCCTTTACAAATACAGGCTTTTCAGAGTATTAGGCCTAGTTAAAGCTGCCCTCTGGATAAAAAGTGTTCCCAAGCAGCCTCAGACAAGCTTGGGAGACAAACAGATGTGACTATGGTCCCTGGCGTTTGGCAAGAACACTCACTGTCAATAAGAAAAATATAAGCATGGACAGGGCATCAGCTGCACAACAGCGGAGCAGGCCTGCAAGTGTCACAGCAGCGGCAAAGTTGTGGCAGAGGGAAGTAAAAAGGCTGCAAAAGCCAGATTAGTGAGAATTTACACTAGTAGGCCAAGATTTTTGTTGTTGTTAGTATCACGCCTCAACATATTAAACAAAAAAGGAACGGAAAACTCTACTGCCAGATTTTATTCCCTTTTCGTTCTGATATACAGTATTTTCAGGGAAAAAGGGGTAATGTTCTACTATAACCACAGAAATGACATACTAAAAATCATGTATATTAATACAAAGTAAGTTATACCATGGAAAGTGTTGTCATCAATGTGGGAGCAGTCATTTCTAACACAAGTCATTAGTGCTCATAGCTATTTGCTGTAAAGGTGCTTGGTCACTGCTCAGTATCATCTAATTTTCTTTCATTCCCCCCCCCCCCCTTCATTCTGGCAGTTTCCATTCCCATTTTTTCCTCTAGACAATCTTTTCAAGATATGTCTAAATAATACATCTAAATTCCACATTCCATCCATACCGTTGCTACACAAACTCTTATTTTTCTGTCACCTCTGTATTCTTGGTAATAAAGTATTTTTAATGAGATATTTCATCTAAAATTACGTTCAGCTTTCGAAGTCCTCTATAGCAGAACAAGTCAGAGTTTGATCTAATCATATCTTTACGGTCATTAGCACCACCCTTTTCTGTACAAAAAGGCTTCAGTTTCACACTGACATTGCAATTCACATGAAGCCTTCTTTGACAGAGGCCCCTACTTTCCTGGACAGTGGTACAGAAAAAAACTGACCTTTATATGTCATTTCCACTTTGTGTGTTGTGTATGTATGTGTGAAAATATATATATATACACACACACATACACTAGCGCGCGCGCGCACACACACACACACACACACACACACACACACACACACTCAGAGAGATCCTGATTTGTTAAGTGATTATCTGTATTTGTTTTGTGTAAAAAACAAAGTTAAAAAAAGAAGAAAACTGACTTTTGCTTTTACTCCCCCCCCTACTTTTAAGGGTTTAAGATGCTCCTAGTTGTTCTCACTGCCTTTTCTATTAACAGTCATCTGAAATTAGAATTTCACTCTAGATTTAGTATTTGCTTCAGACATTAAAAGCAGTATAGCACAGTAAACTGAGCATGAGAGGCCAGCTACTTCTGAATACCAATCCTATTTCTACCTATGACTTACTGTGTGGACTTTGGAAAAATAGACAGGTGGTGATTTCCACATGTAAATAAACAGCTTTCCTCCAAAACCAATTAATCTTCATCCCTACTGCGCTGGGAGTGGGAATTATACCATAGCTACTTCACAAAGGTAAGTTGGGAGAATTAAGTTTGTGTAGCAGTTGTCTTCATTATGCTAGTAGATTTTCTAAGATCTTGATACCAATTCAGGGCTTTTGAACACCATTGCAATTCGCATTACACAGTTACTTAAGTAAATATTTTACATGTCTACTCACTGCTCCAATATCCCTGTTTGTTACCTTACTCCCGTGATGTCTTGCTTTAGGAGTTTTCACTTTCCTCACATGATGTAAGGTTTTGAGATCCACATACTTACTTTTCTTGATGTGTTATAATTACACTTTTAACTGCAATTGTTAACACATACACACCTCATTTCTTCCCCACAGTTTATTTGGACTTCTGTTTAAATTGTAGCACAGCGTCAATCCATTTACCAGATCACA